GAATTTTGGTGGGCAGCCAAAACGGCTGAGGGTCCGCCAGAGGACTTCCCTGTTGACCAAGTCGAAGGCCTTGGTAAGGTTGATGAAAGCCATGTACAGGTCACGACGCTGTTCTCTGCACTTTTCCTGTATCTGGCGGGCAGCAAAGATCATGTCAGTGCTGCCACATGAGATTCTGGGAGGAAGTTTTCCGCCTCAGGAAGAAGTCTGTTTAAGAGGAATCGGGCGATAATCTTGCCAGCTAAGGACAGCAGCGAGATCCCACAGTAGTTGTCAGGGTCTGACCGGTCATCCTTGTTCTTATAAATTTTGATGATGAAGGCGTCTTTAAGAGCTTGGGAGATTTCCTCCTTTTCCCATACATTCTCCAGGAGAGAATGGAGATGGCTGGTAAGCAGAGGCCTCCTGCTTTATACATCTCAGCTGGGATTCCATCCGGACTGAGGCTTTGTTATTTTTCATCTGTTTGATGGCATTAGCCACCTCATCCAGGGATGGTGGATAGCTGAGGTGGGTCAGCTCTGGGTATTGAGGAACCTGCTGGGTAGTCAGGACATCCACATTGGTGTTTAGGCTGAGCAATGAAAGGTTATGCTCTTTCCAGGGCTGAAGGATGCCTTTTTCGTCTTTAATTAGGGAGCTACCGTCGGATGAGTGGAGGGGGGCTGCGCCATGAGTGATTGGCCACAAAAAAGTTTTAGTGGAATTGAAAAATTTGCAAATCTTGTGTTGATCTGCTAGTTTTTGCATTTCACATGCTTTATTTTTAAACCATCCGATCTTTAGATTGTGAAGATCGCACTGGGCCACCGCTTTCTTCTTGCGGAAAATATCAGCTTTGATCAGACTGGTGGTCGTTTTGCCGGGTTGTTTTCATCATACCAGTCCTAGTGTGTTCTTTCAATCTGGCCGAGGATCACTCTGCATGTTTTTATCATGACAGAGTCGAAAATACTCCATTCAGCATTGGGATTTGGGTTGTTTATCAGCCCCTGTTCGAGCTGCTCTCTGAAAATATGTACTACCGCTGGATCCTCCAGACGCTTGGTGTTAAAACCTCTTCTGGAGGCTTGTTGCCTTCGCAGTTTTGGGGCGACGTGAAGTGAGAGCTTGGCTGTGACGAGACGATGATCAGTGTCGCAGTGATCTGAGTAGTGCATAGCTAGGGTGATGAGGACATCTTGGCGATCTCTTTCTCTGGCAATGATGTAGTCAATGAGATGCCAGTGTTTGGATCATGGGTGTTGCCACAATCCCTTGAACTTGTCGGCCTGCCTAAGCAAGGTGTTGGTAATAGTGAGGTTGTATGCAGCACACTTGTTGAGGAGGAGTAGGCCATTGGGATTACACTTGCCTAGTCCATTTCTCCCTATGATTCCCAGTCATATGTCAGCATCTCTGCCATTAAAGTCACCATGGAGCACAACCTTATCTTCTCTGTCCCGGTCGGCATAAAAGGCCCCCTTGATGTCATCCTCTGCATCCAGTGTTGGGGTGTATGCATTGATGAAAAAGGCATGACATGAGTGATTCAGTGGCACTCGGAGCATCATTTCAGTTAGCCTGTGTAGGATGTGTTGGTGGATGGCAAAGCCAACTCCATTAATGATGTTTCTGTCAGCAGCAGGCTTACCCTTCCAGAAGGTATAGCCAGACCCCCGTTCTGTGAGTTGACCCTCATCTGGGAGTCGGGACTCACTGATGGCTGCTATGTCAATGTTATACCTAGGCAGCTCTTTTGCCACAAGGGCAGTTCTTCTTTCAGGACGCTCATTTGTGCCAGTATTCAGAAGGGTCCTGACATTCTATGCAGCAACCATAGGAAGTTGTATAGTTTGTTTCTGTTTTGATCTGTGATTATGATTGTGTTTTCGACCAGTCAGGTTGGTTCTTTAGGCAGGCTATGCTTAAGGCACCTTTTCTACCCTCTCCCCCCTCCCCATGTGGGGTGAGCAGAGTGGCTCCTCGAAAGGGCTGCTCAGTCGCACAGACAGGACCGGATTGCACTGCTGCCTAGATCCCCTGTGCAGAGTTGTGATTAGAGACTTCCAGCAGTCATCTCTGTCTGTCCCTGTCACCACTCGTCCGTAGCCACAGGACTTTTGGGGGTATAAGGGTTTTGATGATGATGAGAAATATGATGAGCTGGATGATGGCTGCGTGTGAGTTGATTTATGTGGTGCAAGAGCGCAAGCTGCAACAATACATCTTGGCTCTCCCTTTTTCTGATCCAGTGGTGCAAGTGTTGCAATGACTGGGGACAAGGAGAGTTGCAATGGACTGCCGATAGCCCAGTTTGTTGGGTTTCGCCTTAGTAGCCTGTCCATCATGCATTGCCTTTGTCCACTGGTGTAGTTGTTGGGTTCCCTTGGTGGTCACCTCTTTTGCCTATACCACCATTGGGGTCTTGTTGGAGCTCTGTAAGTGTGGCTGCCTGTTGCGGGGTTCCACAGCAGATTTTTTGTTTGGGGTTGCTTTCAATAGCCTTATACCTACTAAGGTTAATCCCCCAAGGCAGCGGGGCAGTGATTGGTAGGCACCAGGATGTGTCCACATGCCAATGGGTCTATGCAGCACACTACATCCTTGACCACCGAAGGGTCAAGACGTACCTGGCGCTCCTCTCGGAGCAGCCAGGTCAACTGTTAAGTTGGCCCATACCAACCCCCTCCCCTGAACCCTCCTCCCCACCGGAATATCAACAAGTTCTCGCCAGAAGTTACAATTTCATTTAGGAAAGGAACGGAACCAGTGTTAAACAGAGGTGAACAGTGGTGAACAGTGCTTAAGTCAGTGAGAACAACTCAACAGTAACAGTCGTACCCAAGTTAACCTTCACACAGTGAGGTCCCAGGTACCCAGTGATAACGGCCCGTGAGACCCAACAACAACCACCGATGTGTTAATCCGTCTACGATAGGAAGGCCTAAGACCAAACCTCACTCATATAACACCATCTGTGAGGGAATTATTGTCCCTCATAACACCATCTGAGGGAATTACTACACCACGTCCCTCATAACACCATCTGTGAGGGAATTACTACACCACGTGAGGCCCCTCATAACACCATCTATGAGGGAATTACTACACCACGTGATGCCCCTCATAACACCATCTGTGAGGAATTACTACACCACGTGAGGTCCCTCATAACACCATCTGTGAGGGAGTTACTACACCACGTGAGGCCCCTCATAACACCATCTGTGAGGTAATTACTACACCACGTGAGGTCCCTCATAACACCATCTGTGAGGGAATTACTACACCACGTGAGGCCCCTCATAACACCATCTGTGAGGGATTACTACACCACGTGAGGCCCCTCATAACACCATCTGTGAGGAATTACTACACCACGTGAGGTCCCTCATAACACCATCTGTGAGGCGTGAGGTCCCTCATAACACCATCTGCGAGGGAATTACTACACCACGCCAGGTCCCTCATAACACCATCTGAGGGAACTACTACACCACGTGAGTTCCTCCTAACACCATCTGGGAGGGAGTTACTACACTACGAGTTTGCTGTTCAACACCTACATTAATCTGTATGTTCACTGTATGTTCCTTTACCTTTCTCTAATGAAGGCTTTTGTTAAACCACCAATGTATGTAATAAGTCATTTATGTCCAATGTATATTTTCAGTCTTCAGGCTGCAGAATTTTTTCAATAAACCGTTAATTATTATTATTATTATTATTATTATGCGCCGTCCCTCTGGGGGCCCACTGCTTCTCCGAGATCCCCTGCTGGTCTAGCTTGGGCCCACGAGGCACCCAGTTACCGTCTGTTGCCATGAGGAAACAAAGCAGGAGTCATGATGGTGAAGAGGCTGTGTACTGGCAGGGGAGGAATTATGCATGCGCACACACACACATACTGTACAAAAATAATGTATACAGTATATGAGATCACCATAATAACTGTAATCCCCACCATTTTATGGAAATTTTCCACATTTGAGCGGGTTAACAATGATCACCTGATGATACGGTGTCCTCATTGTCAAGAGACATATTTGAAGCAAGTTTTCCAGCTGGATGCCCTTCTTAACATCAACCCACATTTACAGAGTGGGAACTGGGTATTGTATGTAGAACTTCCAAGCCCTTTTTAGCTGACAAGGCAGGATCACTACTCCCTGAGGTGAAGAAAGATTACCCACCTACTAGAAAGTTATATTTTTTCTATTCTGGCTCAACTTAAGCATCAGCAGGTCCCTGATAATCACTCCCAGAGCTTGACCAACATGTACTGAACATTATTCCTCTCATGGCCATTTGTCAGCTGACCACCTGCACCATCTACTTGCAGGCATTTTTCCAAGCATTATGAGTCAAAAATAAGTATAAAAAGTTATTATCATGGTATAGTAAAACACACTTCAGCAGGAAGTATTCAAAACTTATCAGTGGCTTCCACTCTTATTCATGTGGTGTTGCAGAGAACTTTGAACCTGTTTTATAGATTTAAATAATTTATTTTATTTTATAGTAAAAACTTCCTCAAGAGAAATGAGCATTTTAACAAAACAACATTCAAGAGGTATGTCTGAATTGTAAAAAAAAAAATTATCACAGGTTTTGTGATGTAATGAACACCTTTCCTAGAACATGTTTCATGCAATATTTTACCCAAACAAAAACTATCACTGTTTTATCTCCAGACACTTGCTTCATAAAACAATGAGCTGTCAAAGCTTCAAAGTATTGTATAAGATTTGACTAAGTGGTTCATATCAGTCTAGTTAGAAAAGAATAGGTAAAAAATGGGAGACAGAAGGAGTACAGTACTGTAATGTTAGACAGACAGACCTCTGTACAACCTGTGTATAAATGAGACCAGAAACATTACATGAGCTCTGACAGAAATGAGGCCATAAGCAGACTAACTCGTGATAAATTTATAAGACTGTACTGTACTTCCAAGTGACCAGAGGAGCTCATACCAGATATACGTACTAACAATAATACAGTTGTCTCACACTAACCTTCTTGATGATGGTAGTCATCTCATGTGCTGATCTTGGTGCTCCTCCAATTAACTGTCTTGTACAGGTATCTAAAGTAGCAGCATGTCCTACTAGTAGTACTGTACCACCTGAACCAATAAAAAATTTTGAATAAAATATTGAAATGTTAAACACAGAGGGGACTAAAAATTTTTTAATCTATATCCAGGCGTCTTCAGATATATTCTTGTTTTCATGGTACAGTACAGTATTTTATGGCATATAAGATGCATGGCCATACAGGCAGGGAGTATTTGGGAAAAAAAATTGTGTGTGCATTTTCCTCCTGTAGCCCTAGTTTTCTTAAAATAATATGTACAGTACCAGCAAATGTGAGAAATAAATAAAAATAATACCATTAAATAAGGTACAACAAAAAATACTGTACGTATTGCCGAACCAGTAAATAAAAGCCAAATGAAAGTGTTACAGTTGTCATTTGCAGTAGTACCCCGATTTACGCGGTCAATTGAACCCACAGGGTACCGCGGAAAGTGAAAACCGAGTAATGTGAACAACGGAACATATGGGATTAATTCCAATAGAGACTGGCCCGACCCCCAAACTCCACTTTTTTACTCCACTTTTTTTGACACAATACCTATGTTGTAGTAAAAATAACATTTAAATTTTATGATGGTATGCTCACACAATTAATATTTAAGAGAAATACAGTCGCCAGGTTTATGTCCATTCAAATAATTGACTCAAATCCCCCCCCCCCCTCTTCCCAGCTCACTAGCTCCTACCTCTCTGAGAAACGATTGGGTGAAAACACTACATTTTAACGTTTAGTAATGAATAATACCTCAGACTAAAGTTAGGATAATATAATTGACATTTCTGGATTCCTTGCAGGTCAGGGAATATTTTGAATGTAAACTTCATATATTTTGCACAAAAGATAAAATATTTGCTTTGTGTAAACCAAATTATTACATTAGATCTAAAATTTGTATGTCTAATGCAAAATCCATGATGTTTATATTCAAAATGATCATCATATTGTAAGAATTCCAGCAATGTAAATTATATTCTGGTCGAGTAATTTGTATGAATTTTATGAGCTAAAACAAATATCTTCAGTTAATAAAAAAAATAAAAATATTCTTCACAACACTATCTGTCAATGAAAGTACCCCACCTTGCCTCCCCCCCTCCTCACACTCACACCAGCTGGGTCGGTCCGTCCCAACCCTCCCACCCCACCCCCCACCTTCCCTCCCTACCAGAGAAATGTTGGGTGAAAAAACTAGATTTTAACTTTTAGTAATAAATAATACCTCAGACTAAAGTTAGGATAATATAATTGACATTTCTGGATTCCTTGCAGGTCAGGGAATATTTTGAATGTAAACTTCATATATTTTGCACAAAAGATAAAATATTTGCTTTGTGTAAACCAAATTATTACATTAGATCTAAAATTTGTATGTCTAATGCAAAATCCATGATGTTTATATTCAAAATGATCATCATATTGTAAGAATTCCAGCAACGTAAATTGTATTCTGGCAGGGTAATTTGTATGAATTTTATGAGCTAAAACATATATCTTCAGTAAATAAACAAAGAAATATTCTTCAAGGACACTATCTGTCAATCAAAATACTCCGCCATAGCTGGGTCGGTCCCTCCCTCCCTCCCTTCCCCCACCTTCCCTCTCTACCAGAGAAGCTTTGGGAGAAAATAGTATATTTACATTTTGATTAATAAATAATAACTCAGACTAAAGTTAGGATGATATAATTGACATTTCTGGATTCCTTGCAGGTCAGGGAATATTTTGAATGTAAACTTCATATGTTCTGCACAAAGGCTAAAATATTTGCTTTGTGTAAACCAAATTATTACATAAGATCTAAAAATTGTATGTCTAATGCAAAATCCATGATGTTTATATTCAAAATGATCATCATATTGTAAGAATGCCAGCAATGTAAATTATATTCTGGCCGGGTAATTTGTATGAATTTTATGAGCTAAAAAAAAAAAAAAAAATTATACTTCACCGCGTATATGAGTAGATGCACCGCGGAAAGTGAAAGTCCGGTTCTGGAAAGTGAAACCGTGTAAAGCGGGTTAATACTGTATACTGTAGTCCCTTGCTCACTATAGCAACGCAGACGCCACCTCCGCCGATTCCCTAACAACACCCCCCCCCCTAGTCCCGCCTCCACCCGCTAACTCGTGTGTAAAGAAATGCATATACCCTTTACTGTACATGAGTAAAAATAAATGAAGAAAGTTATGTATATCTTCCCCAAATATACAAGATGAAAAACAACCATAACACCAGTAGCCTGGTAGTTATAGTGACGAGTTTAACCTGGCTACAATGCTGCCAGCGATGTTAACAGACACAAATGTGAAAAGAGAGTTATATGTAAATCTCATTTGTATCAGGTATTTGTAGATATAAAAATAAATGTTGCAGGTACTGTATGGTATTAATAGACTATAATGCTTGTAGGAGTTCAGAAATTGTAACTGCTTAGCTGCCTCTGAAGAGTTGGGTGTCTGCCGTAAGGACATTAATCGTCTCAGGTTATCATCATCAGTACAGTACAAATTAGTTATAAATCGAGCTTTTATATTTACAATACAGTATTACCCCGCTTAACGCGGTTTCACTTAACGCGATTCCGCATATACGCGGTGCCTCGCCAGAACCAAACTTTCACTTAACGCGGTTCATCTACCCATATACGCGGTGAAGTATAATTTTTTTTTTTTATTTAGCTCATAAAATTCATACAAATTACCCGGCCAGAATATAATTTACATTGCTGGAATTCTTACAATATGATGATCATTTTGAATATAAACATCATAGATTTGGCATTAGACATACAAATTTTAGATATAATGTTTACTCTGAGTAAATATGTTATCTTTTGTGCAAAATATATGACATTTATATTCAAAATATTCCTGGTCATACAAGGAATCCAGCAATGTCAATTATATTATCCTAACTTTAGTTTGAGGTATTATTTATTACTAAAAAGGTAAATATTCTGGTTTTCCCACTCGTCTGGTAGGGAGGGACCGACCAACCATTTGGCACGGTGTGAAGAATATTTTTTTTATTTTTTATTAACTGAAGATATTTGTTTTAGCTCATAAAATTCATACAAATTACCCGGCCAGAATATAATTTACATTGCTGCAATTCTTACAATTTGATGATCATTTTGAATATAAACATCATAGATTTTGCATTAGACATACAAATTTTAGATATAATGTTTACTCTGAGTAAATATGTTATCTTTTGTGCAAAATATATGACAATTATATTCAAAATATTCCTGGTCTTACAAGGAATCCAGCAATGTCAATTATATTATCCTAACTTTAATCTGAGGTTTTATTTATTACTAAATGTTAAAATTTAGTTTTTTCACCCTACATTTCTCTTGTAGGGAGGGTTGGTGGGGGGTGGGGGGGAGGGGTGGGATGGACCGACCATCTGGCGCGGTTGGAAGAGGGGGGGAGGCAAGGTGGGGTACTTTGATTGACAGATAGTGTCGTGAAGAATATTTTTTTTTTTTATTAACTGAAGATGTTTGTTTTAGCTCATAAAATTCATACAAATTACCCGGCCAGAATATAATTTACATTGCTGGAATTCTTACAATTTGATGATCATTTTGAATATATACATCATAGATTTTGCATTAGACATACAAATTTTAGATACAGTAGTACCCCGCTTAACGTGGTTAATTGAACCCACAGGGTACCGTGTTAAGTGAAAACCGCGTTAAGTGAACAACAGAACATATGGGATTAATTCCAATTGAGACTGGCCGGACCCCCAAACTCTACTTTTTCCGACACAATACCTATGTTCTAGTAAAAATAACATCTTAATTTTATGATGGTACATGCACACAATTAATACTTAAGAGAAATAGAGAAATATAGTCGCCAAGTTAATGTCCATTCAAATAATGGACTCAACTCCCTCCCCCTCTTCTCACACTACACTCGCTGGCTCTTCCCTCTCTGAGAAATTTTTGGGGGAAAACCACTAAATTTTAATAAATAATACCTCAAACTAAAGTTAGGATAATACAATTGACATTGCTGGATTCCTTGTAAGACCAGGAATATTTTGAATATAAATGTCATATATTTTGCACAAAAAATAACATATTTACTCAGAGTAAACATTATATCTAAAATTTGTATGTCTAATGCAAAATCTGTGATGTTTATATTCAAAATGATCATCATATTGTAAGAATTCCAGCAATGTAAATTATATTCTGGCCGGGTAATTTGTATGAATTTTATGAGCTAAAACAGGCAGGCAGTCAGGCAGGCAGGCAGGCGGGTGGTGGGTGGGGCGAATCTAAAAATAGCATCTCGAGCCGGACACTCTGCGCGTATACGTGGAAAAAACACGTGTTAAGTGAAAGTTCGGCTCTGGCGAGGCACCGCATATACATGAAATCGCGCTAAGCGAAACCGCGTTAAGCGGGGTATTACTGTATAATGTTTACTCTGAGTAAATATGTTATCTTTTGTGCAAAATATATGACATTTATATTCAAAATATTCCTGGTCTTACAAGGAATCCAGCAATGTCAATTATATTATCCTAACTTTAGTTTGAGGTATTATTTATTAAAATCCAGTGGTTTTCCCCCCAAAATTTCTCAGAGAGGGAAGAGCCAGCGAGTGTAGTGTGAGAAGAGGGGAAGGGAGTTGAGTCCATTATTTGAATGGACATTAACTTGGCGACTGTATTTCTCTATTTCTCTTAAGTATTAATTGTGCGCATGTACCATCATAAAATTAAGATGTTATTTTTACTAGAACATAGGTATTGTGTTGGAAAAAGTAGAGTTTGGGGGTCCGGCCAGTCTCTATTGGAATTAATCCCATATGTTCTGTTGTTCACTTAACGCGGTTTTCACTTAACACGGTACCCTGTGGGTTCAATTGACCGCGTTAAGCGGGGTACTACTGTAATTATTTTTTAATTAATTAAAAATAATAATACAATACTACTTGTAATGTGTTTAAGTAAGCAATGACATATTTTTAATTCTGGAGTTGGGTTAGGTAGAATTAAGCCTACTGGAGACAACAACTGGGGGATTCTTTAGCTTACGGGAGACTTCAACTTCATATATTGGACGCAGGCTGATTTTTCAGCCATTTTTCAGACAAAAAAGTGCGTCTTATATGCCGTAAAATACGGTACTTCCTTTGAAGATTCAGTCAGAGTGAAAAATATTTGCACACCAAATTTATCAAGTATCTTGAAAACAATACTGCAAGTTGCCTTAATTTGCACCCTTGTGATCTCATATTTTTATGTCAAATTTAGTGTAACTTTGAACTGCAAACCAATTACTGTATATGTATTTAGCACTGATGCTAGCAATGAGTGCTATGTTAAATAAAATTGTAGACAAACTTTAAAATCATAAATGTGTGTGTGTGTGTGTACATGCAAAGGTGTATGTGTGCATGTGTACTGTAATGATTTAAAAAGAGAAAACCAGGTTCACTCAATCATAATAGTGATATCCCCATTAGCCACAACAATTGATCAAGAGAACTTTTGGGAATGAGAGATTTCTGGATAATGAAATGACTCTCAAACTAGGAAAAAATCCCAGGTAGTATATTGGCAAAAGTTTCTCGGAATTTTCTGGAAATTGCGCATTATTTCACCCTCAGAATTTGTTTCCAGACCCAGAAAAAAATTGGAGAGAATTTCTGGAATTTCCTCAGAATTTTCCATAATGACACATTATTTCACCCTCGGAATTTGCTCCCAGACCCAGAAAAAAAAATTGGAGTTTCCAGAATGTATCTGATTTTCAACCACGGAGAATCGTTCCCAAACCCGGAATTGAGAGAAATTTTACAGAAAAAATTCTGAGCAAATTTCAATTCCGTCTACTGGAGAGTTCTGGCTAAAAGGGATTCGGGATAATGGAGATATTACTCTTGGATTCAATAAATATGTACAAGGAGAAGATGTAATACTTTTAAAGGTAGACATACCTTGTGACTGTGTTGTATTAATAATACTCTGTGTAACGTAGGCATTTCTTCCATAATACTGCTCACAACTCTCGTGAGTGTCCTTCAGTTCCTCTTTTCGGATCAGAGGGTCATAATTATGGTTTATATTAAATCCTGCATCAATCAGCTCATCAAGAGTCATCCATAGAGGCATTCCATCATGGTACCAAGCTAGCCACTCAAAAAGCCCTGGTTCAATATTGAGTGGCAAGTGCTCAGCAATGCCCATACCTGTGAAGAATTATCTTACTTTAAATAATATCCTTTACTGTACATGCTTCTCTCAATATGCTTCAGATTAATATCATTACCTACTTTTTGGGTATCTATCCAGATTAATTTAAAGGCTAACTTTCCAAAACTTGATTGATAGTTAAACCAGTTCTACCCATAAGAAAACATTAACCCTGAAATGGTCCATATTAAATACTAAATACCCATTACAGCACAGTACTGTATAGTAGCCTAACTCTCCAGAATAAGACAACAAAACTAATGGCTCTATCTTTTATACAAAAAATATAAGAAATATATTTTTCCTTTCAAAACCAAGTTATATGAGGGATTACTGTACGTTTGTCAAAGTAATTATGACTTGCCAATTACTCCTTCATAAAGATTATACTGTACTGTATTCTTCAAATTCAAGCTGAAATAAAGCAGCTTTGTGGTTATTTTTCGAAGCAAAGTTTCATAAAATAATTACCGTAACATTTAACTCACTAATCAAGTAATCAAGTGTCAATCTTAAAATATCAGTGGTGTGAAAATATATAAGATGGATGACAATTACATTACAGAAATGTTGGGTAACGAGAGAATTAGCTTCATCTAATAATAACAATCCAGCTTGTTTCCCTGAATACTCGTACAGTACTTACCTGTACTATATCCCTATAACTTACCCTTAAGTATATTGGTACAAGTTTGAACACAACGCAAAGATGGGGAACAGAAAACATGATGCACCTCTGTCCCATTTGCCTTCATAGCTTGACCTACGAGTGATGCTTGCAATAAACCAATATTTGTAAGAGGACAGTCTTTATAAAAACTGTGCGGTGCTCCTTTCCTCTGAGGTAGTGTCTCTGGCATGTTAAGGTCTCGTCGCTGATATGTCCCTGTACAAGGACAACATAGTATTATATCTAAGCAATATTTAGAACAATTGTCTAAACATCCACAGATAACTCATAAAGTTATTATAGTTTAATGATTACAGTATATTTAAAATTTTATGGGTAAGACTGGAAATACTATACAGACAGATTCTTACAAACACGTGTTACATGGAGACCACTAATGTAACACATTTTTCCCTTTGTATTCAATTTACGAATCTCATGTCTGACATTAAAAAACAGTCTACAAACAAAACTCCCATCTGAAACTTGGGAGTAGATTACATACAAGTTAAAGAATTATGCCTAAAATTAAAATTAAATTGATAGTCTTTTTCACATGTACAGCAAAGTGAATAAAAACACAAACATACCTGCTTCATTGAAGCAAAAGCGAATCCAATCACCAAAGGTGAAATCAACTCTCTCTCCATGTCTGACAACAATAATTTTACGTGGACCTTCAATAGGGAACTTGTAAAGAGGCCCTTCCTTTTTTGGTTTCTTAACCTAAAATCAAGTAAATGTTTATACAGTACAGTACTGTACTTGTAAGATGAGCACACTGGAATGACAAAGATTATCTAGACAGGGTTGTGTCTGGCAAAATTTTTTTCACTCTTTCAAGCACTTTTTGCGATGGTACAGGAAGGCTATCTAGCAGTACAGTATTCCTTTGATTTTATCCTTTGAATGGGACACCTCATGTGACCAATGAAAATATTCTCAATTTGCTTAATGGAACCCACATGAACCACCAACTTGTGTGATAGTAAACATTCTTAACCACAATAACAGAGAATGAACAAAATATTTGTCTGAATTAAAGTAAATCTTCTCAATAAAGGACTCCTCAATACTGAATATTCTCAATAATGGATGTCTTTTTGTTTATATAATTAACCAACTCGGCAATGTCTCCTATTGACTACCTGGTCAGTTGGTGCATGTTGGCACTTGCTAGGATCAGTGCAGCTGAACATCCCAGCACTCTAAAAAGGGTCCTACTACAGTACAGTACAGTACAGTACTACATTTTAGACATGATATGTAGTACCCTATACTAAAACTAAGAGACCATGCCAAAAGTCATTTCATAGTAGAAAAGAAGTCAGATATTGTTGACAAAATTTGAAAAAGGTACATCTGTGTCTGTCATTATGGCAGAAGACAACAACAGTGCCTAATTCACTGTGTCAATTTGCTTGGCACAGCAGGAGGAAGTATCTCCTGTGCCATGCCAGCATAAAGAAGTGCAAGTATTGAAGGCCCCTAATCAAGGCAAGTTGAATTTCTATATATTGTATAGTATTGATGGCTGGAAATGATGTTTGAATTTTTTATACAGTACTATCTCATTAATGAAATCCTCCCAATAAGGAAAGGGCTTGCATGAATCAGTCCAGTACTGGGAGTGCTTCCTGTAGTTTTATTATTGGCTCTGTGTACCTGTCATGACACTGGGAAAAAGCTTTGAGTATGTATGTATCAGCAAAAGGATTGGGTACATAAAAAATCCACGAAGCAAAATGGATTTTCTTACCGACTACCATTATAAACTGGGAGATACTGTCTGTCCCTTGATGAAAAAAAAATCCACCATGTAACAAAATAAGAGTAAACATGTTTTTAATCACTTTTTAAAGAAAACAATAAAACTACACAATAATAATAATAGTACAGCACTGTAGTAACGATTATATGGTACATGTTATACAAATGAGTTTAATGCAAGTTAAAATGTATTCTACTCAAAAGAAACTACTGTATGGTGGTTGGTGCCCTTCCAAATCTGTCCTCCATGACAACAACCAACCACAGCTAACAACTATGGTAATTATAACTTATATTTGCATTGATATACAGTCGGCCCTTAACATACGCGGGTTTAGCATACACGGATTTGCAAATACGCAGATTGCCCTGCCGGAGGAATATTCTGTACATTGGAGTAATTGAAGTACATTCAAATCGCGCGCCATTCAACTCGCGCGCAGCACCGAACACGGAACACCGCCCGCTCCCGCAACCTCACACACACACGCATAGCTCTCCCTCACTCAGTCAGTCTCGCTGTAACCACGCTTGTGTTGACATCAGCATTGTAGTTGCAAAAATATTACATTTCCGAGAATGTATTATATCAAGCACAGTATGAATAGAATATCACTAATACAGTCATGCGCCGGTTAACGTCCGACCGAACAACGTCCGATCGCATATATGTCCGTGCCCCCCCTCCCCCCCCCAAAAAAAAATCTGTAACGCCTGCTGGACCACCACTCCACGACCCCCTGACGGAGACACGATGATCCTCCCCATACTGGTCGAATATTATGTGTTAAAGGAATATGCTTCCTTGATCAGGCATTTTTTAAACATTTGTTTTTTTAAACATTTGCCTCCAGGTGTAATGTTAACCTACATCTATTGAGGATAAAATCTTTCACCAACAAATTGACAATAACACATTTGCTGTAATTAGACATATCTAGTTGCTTCAACAATTGCAACCCCAGTTGCAATTGGGGTTGCAATTTCAAATTCTGTGGCATTACTAAAAATAACTAAGTCTCTGGTGCACTCTAAGATTAAGAGAGAAAATGGAGGACTCAGGCGTCCTGATGTGAGAGAAAACGGACTCGTATGATGGGGGACCAAATAAAAAAAGCATAGCTACATGTTTTGTGGACTACAGTATTAAGCGTACCCTTTTCATCACTTTGTAATAAACCTAGCCATGCCTATGTGTGTTTATAATATTTACCATAACATTATATATAAATATATATATATATATATATATATATATATATATATATATATATATATATATATATATATATATATATATATATATATATATATATATATATATATATATATATATGTATATATGTATATATATATAGTATAACCCTCACTTTACGCGGTCCCACATTCCGCGTTTCCACGTTTACGCGGTGCCCTGCCGGAACCCAGGATGCTCACATTCCGCAGTGCGTGTACCCCTTTACGCGGAGAGCGGCTGGCGAGCCGCGCCATTTTTGGATCCAAACCTCCCGCCATCCGCCATGTTGTGTAAGCGGCGCGAACATGGTGCGCACAAGGTCGCCCAGTCATCAAAACATTACCAGTTCTTCACCCGCCACCCACCACAGCCGGCCCAAGTCAGTGATAGTGATAATTATGGTGAGGATATGGACTTAGATGAACTTTGGGGAGTTTGACAAAGAGGCCCTGCAAGCCTCTGTGGTGGACAGTGATACAATTAATACAAGTGATACAGGTGAGGGCCAATAATCTGCCCTCTGCCTCGGAACCAACCGCCCATCCCCATGTGCCCAGCCATTTTTTCTACTAATGTAAGTGTTAAAAAACCTAATACTATTGATATTTCTCTTAATTATTAATTGTGTGTGCATACCATCATAAAGTTAAGATATTATTTTTACTACAACATAGTTGTGTGTCGTCAAAAAGTGGAGTTTGGGGATCGGCCCGGACTCCATTTCAATTAATCCCATATGTTATGTTATTCACTTTACGCGTTTCTCACTTTACGCGGGACCCTCCGGGATACATTAACCGCGTAAAGTGAGGGGTTGGCACAATAATAATAATAACAACATATGTATATGTATATATATATATATATATATATATATATATATATATATATATATATATATATATATATATATATATATATATATATATATATATATATATATATATATATATATATATATATATATATATATATATGTATATATATATATATGTATATATATATATATATATAATATATATATATATATATATATATATATATATATATATATATATATATATATATATATATATAATATATATATATATATATATATTTAGTGGGTCTAAATGGTGATAAAATGGGAAACTTGGGGTTGGGTCTTGGGTGCCTGAACCAATTAGAATAAATCCCATAGGTTCTGTACTTTCGTTATCGGCGGGGTCCCAATTAGGCGCGATAACCAAGGGATGACTGTACTGTACTGTATATACTTGTGACACTGGCCAGTTGCTTCTGGTGTTATGGTACAGGGGTACCAAGTGACAGCACTAGGATCCCGCTTCCTCTATCAAGGAATAAACAATTAAAATTTAAATTGAAAAAAAAAACATTCAAATAATGGGACGTAGCGAACCTAAATGGCCGTAGAGCGGGCACAGTCACGTATGCATCGCATATTCTTATAGATTGTGCTGCCAGGCGTACGTTATCTAGTGAATTTAGTCAATATTGTACAGTAACAATGGACCGAAGTGCAAACCTGTATTGTACATGTACTAAATGATTACGGTACTAAAATTGTTATGTCTATTGCAAATATTGCTTGTTTATACAGGTATTCAAATAAATTACTATCTTACAAGAATCCCTCCAATGTAAGTTATATTCACCCAGGTCATTTGGGTGGCAAATTATGAGAAGAGCTTAGTCACTCTTAAGTAATGATAAATAAACACGCAGGCAGGCCTTCAGCGCCAACTGTCAAATCTTATCTCAAATAAATAAACAAACAAACACCAGACATTCTGTCACCTCACCTCCCGCCCCCTCCCTCCCAGACAAAAGTTTGGTGATTTCTTTATGTTCATTTTATATAATATCTCAGACTAAAGTTAGGATAATATAATTTGCATTGCTGAAATCCTTGCAAGACAGAGATTAATTTGAATATAAGCATCATATATTTTGCTCAAGATATAAAAAATGTAGTACATTAGTGTACAATACTGTAGTACATTTTATAAAAAGTTTTTTAACTATTTTTGGGTAGATTTACATAAATTTCTTCATTTATTTTCATCCATTTACATGCACACACCATACTAAAAGAAACGTAAAAGAAATAAATGACCTTAGTGCAAAGCTGGAGTGCACATGTACTAATTTGATTACGGTATTAAAATTGTTATGTCTAATGTGAATTACAACATGTTTATATTCAAATAAATCAATATCTTACAAGAATCCCAGGTATGTTAATTATATTCTCCTAGGCTCATATCACTGGCATTTTAAAATGAGAGAAGCTTAGTAGGACTGTTAAATAAACACACAGAGCCGTTCGGCTCAAACTTATCACCTCAACCCCCCACACACCCCCACCCCTCCCTCCCTCCCTAATCTGCTCAGCCGGGGGTTTATTTAGGCTTCCAATTTTTATCTTATATAATGTCTCAGACTAAAGTTAGGAGATTATAATTTGCTTTGCTGGAATCCTTGCAAGACAGCCAATAATTTGAATATAAACGTCATATATTTTGCTCAAGAGATAAAAATTGTTGTACATTAGTGTACTGTACTGTAGTACATTTATAATATAAATTTTTTCAACTGCATTTTGGGTAGATTTACATCAATTTCTTCATTTATTTTCATTCATTTGCATGCACACACCATACTAAAAGAAACGTAAAAGAAATTAATGACCTTAGTGCAAAGCTGGAGTGCACATGTACTAATTTGATTACGGTACTAAAATTGTTATGTCTAGTGCAAATTATAGCACGTTTATATTCAAATTAATGAGTATCTTACAAGAATCCCAACAATGTTAATTCACCCAGGTCATGTCACTGACTTTTTATAAGAGAGAAGCTTAGTCACTTAAGAACTGATAAATATACAGGTACAGGTTGTACCTTTCTAGTTCGGCATTCTGTGGTCCGGAAACTCCCGTGGTCCGGAACGATTTTAGGTTGTCCAATAGGTAGATAGGCAGTTTTTTTTTTTTTTTTACTTATCTGAATTATTATTATTATTATTACAGGAGTATTAAATTTTTGCCCCTCAGGCCCCAATGTGGGTCAGTGACCTATGCCCGGGTGGGCTAATCCCCATAAAAAAAACAACAACAAAGCCGCGAGAAATTAAGGTTTGTTTACATACGGCAGTTCGGCTGCTCTCTCTCTCTCTGCTTGTCTATACAGAGTACAACATTTAACCCTTCAATATATATGAGCAGTAAATAAGTGTTGCTTTCATATTCTTATGTAGAGTAATGACGATATATTTTCACATGTGCGCCCTTACATACGAGCAGTCTCACTTTTTTTTTTACCATTAATGGTTAGCTACTTATATTGTTCCATTTATTAACATTAAATAACATTACAGGTACTTCAAGCAACCATATTCATATTTTACATTAATTTTACTACAGCTAAACTCAGGGTCTTATTTTCTTCAGTTTTATATGTAGAACCAATCAGTCACTGGTTTCGTAAGCTTTAACATAAACAATGCCGGCAGCGGTCTCGTCTCCTCTAATATTCCACGTATTATTAATAAATTGTATTGTTAATTTTGCACACATGTACATTAATTCAATAAAAACAAATTCAGAAACATTAATTAAAATATATATGAACAGTAAATAAGTGTTGCTTTCATATTCTTATGTAAAGTAATGATGATATGTTTTCACGTGTGCGCATGCGCACTTACATATGCGATCTCTCTTTTTTCTTTACCATTATCGTTAGCTACTTCTATTGTTCCATTTATTAACATTAAATAACATTACTTAAAACAACCATATTAATTTTACTACAGCTACAACCAAGATCTTATTTTCTTCAGTTTTATATGTAGAACCAGTCAGTCACTGGTTTTGTAATCAACGAATACAATGCTGTGTCATTTCCTCGTGTGTTTTAATATTCTACGTATTATTAATGAATTGTATTGCTCATTTTGCACACATAAACATTAATTCAATAAAAAAGACATTCAGTAATAAACAATAATGAATCTTTTGTACATAAGAGAAATGACGCTGTTTACACGATTATGCACGTCGTCTGCACGTTGGCGGGCCGTTCAAACCCGTCGAAATTCAAGTTTCCGCCGTCAAAATTTTTATTTATTTATTTTTTTTGTGTGTTCCAATAAAATACGTTAAGAATTAAAAATTCGCGAAATTTGAGAAGCTATTATACGACATTTAACCCTTCAATATGTCTTCAAAGAGACCATGATGCAGAGAAAGTGGTGCTAGTGCTTCCAGGCTTAAGCACAAGTCACTATCTATCCAGGAAAAGGGTGAATTTCCATGGTCCGGCACCGGTCAGGTCCCGAGGTTGCCGGACTAGAGAGGTACAACCTGTACACGCTTTAGACCTTGGGCTGGTACCAACTGTCAAACGTACTACCTCCCCTCCCCCCAAGCCCCCTCGCTTGCTCCCTCCCTCCTTCTCTCCCTCCCTCCCTCTCCCCCTCTCCCCCAACTGCCCAGCATTGCTGGAATCCTTGTAAAACAGTGAATAATTTTAATATAAACTTCATGTATTTTGCACAAGAGATAAAAATTAATCACCTGTATCACATTACAGTTGTGATTTAAGAGTAAAAGTGTATATGTACGTATATAGTATTCCACATACACGTAAGTACAAGTATAAATAGAAAGTTTATGTGATGATCGGACAACGTCCATTTCGGTTAACGTCACGTTTCCAAGAACGTATCTAGGATGTTAACCGGCGCATTTACTGCATTTTGTCATACTATTTCTTCTTTTCTCTTAAATTAAAGTCATTTTAGATGTTTATAAGGACTTAGGCATTGATATACACTGTAATGGGATTATAAACATTGTTCTGTAAGTACGGTTTGCACATTACATGTGTTTCAACTTAGGTACAAATCCAACTTATGAATATCCTCAGGAACAGAACCTGTTCATAACCCAGGGAGCCAGGGAACAACTGTACTGTATACAGGACTGCTTAAAACTGGACAGGGTACACTTTGTTGAATATGCAGTACTGTGCAGTACTTAACAATGCTACTTGCCGTAATCTCTCCCTGCACTAAGGTCAATATTTGTTAGGTCAATATTTGTTAGAAAAAATATGAGGCAAAATACAGAATATCTATGGATTTAAGTAGATATATTATTTATTTAAATAATCATTTTAATTGATGCACATGATTGGTTATTCTAGTAGTGCTTAAGAAATGCTATTAAATGACAATGTATTGTATTTTGCATTTTCAGTACACTGAAGAAAAAATTGGTAGTGCAGAAAAAACAGAGTTAGATGGTCACTTTGAGTCACTGTCCCTTCAAACAGACTCGGCTAAACAATGGACAGAAAAACTCTTGGCTGGTGCTGAGTCTGTACTTATTCCCAACCCAGGTAATTATTGGATTGGCCATTTGTTCGTTGGTAACTCTCAAACAGTAATATTTTTTACTAATTAATAAAAGGATTACATGGTTGAAGATGTTAACATCAATACAGCTACAGTACATATACAGTGTTTGTATTAATGATATACAGTACTGTTCTGTATTGTTGTTTTGCTGTGTAATTTGTAAGGTACATTTAAACTTAATATTTTTGTAAAATAACCCAAGTGCTTCATTTAAAAGTTATAATAAAAATATATTTAATAATGATGATTGTTATTGTTCTGTGTGTGTGACTTATATGTTTATTTTCTTTCAGGGAACAGAGTAGAAGATATGATCTTTGAAAAGATAGAAAAGCGCCGTCCAAATAGACTTAGTAACCTCGAATATTTAGGGTTGGACATGGTTCAAGCAGGAAATGAATTTGGTCCAGGAACAGCATATGGTAAGGGGGGTCCTGGTTGACCTCACTGCTCATAAGCTTTAAGTGAGCTCTGCTGATGGTCATCAGTGTGTTTTCATTCTTATTTTTTCTTTAGTCTGCTGTTCACAGTGAACTATATACAAGCTGATACTGATCACTTTCCAAAATGCCAAGATTTGAGTTTTTGATGCCTCCAGATATCTGACTGTACAGTACAGTATTTTGATTCAGTTTAGTTCCCAAATTAGCTATCTGCACATTAAGATACATACAGTACAGTACTGTACTTAGAAAATTATATACATGTACTGAATTAACAATTACAGATTGCACTAAAAGAAAATGCTGAACAGTTTTATCATATTCAATAATTTGCTTATACAGTACAGTACTAGGATGAAGACATTAATATTTTGCTTCTTCACATTGTAGAATTATATTCCAGTAATCACCTTATGAACAGGTTCTGCACTTCTGAAAGTTGGTGGGGCTGAGCAGCGGTTAGGTATGGTGGAAAGAGAGTTTGTGAGTAATGCTGTCCAGGGGTATGTACAGCCCATGAGAAAGTTCCTCGACACTGAAATGAAAACAATCACAAGGGAAAAGCGACTTCTTGAAACTAAACGGTAGGTGAACTTGAAACTTGCATCTTGATATTGTGATTGATTGAAACAACACAGTTGATAACTCTCTTTACAACCCAGGAATTGTAGCAGACTACAGTATAAGTTAAATGCAGTTGTAGATGAATTGAATATGCAGTACTCTACTGTTGAAAGATATTCATGTATTTCCCCAGTTACCAATATATTTTGGAAAACATTGTTTTAAAGTACAGGGGTATCTTTCTTTTAACCCCTTGTGTATGGGGTCTTCTTCTCTCTGCTGGATAAAATCATCTGACATCAGCCTAAAAAGTATTAAAAGTAGCATTCCCATAGTGAAAGGATTATTAGAGATAGTCTACTAACCCCTTGTTTAAGGGGCCCTGTTTGTACTGAATAAAATCATTTTGGCATCAGCCAAATAATGTATTAGAAGTAGTGTCCCTGTAGTGAGGGGGTTAGCAATAGAAAATAATAAATGTAACATACAATATTATGTTCTGAAGACCCATGGATCATTAACATTAACCTTTGAGATCTAAACTGCTGAGCCATCCTTTGTGTGAGCCTTCCTTTTTCCAGAGGGTTTGACATTTAGCAGAAGGATACTATCTTATCCAAGCACACAAGGCCAGATAGCAATTTTTGCAGCAAGCAGCATTTCTCATTCAGTCAATCAAGATACCATTTGATTCACAGGTTGACTTGAAGTTGAGCTTGTGTGATGTGACAGGAATAAACTGGAAAGATATTTTGGGGCCTGGTTCTGGAAGGAGTACACCATAGAAAACATTTGTCACAACAGTAAGAATAAAGATAGCATATTGAGTCTTGTGTTAGCTCTTTGTTCTGGTCACTTTTCAGTGTTGCAGTAAAAGGCTAAAAAGATTGAAAAACAGGGTAACTGAATTAATGCCACTCATCCACTTGGCACACCTAGCACACACGCTTGAAAAGGTTGATCAATTGAACAATTGATCAATCAATATCAGTTTTCTGTCAGCAATTAAGGACACCAGATACATTTTTGCGATACCCCTGAATCGGTTCTTCCTAATCACTAATATCTGATTTTTCCTTTATATTCTTATAAATTTTCAAAATCATACTTCTCCATAATTTCTCACTAAATTTTGTTGAAATTTATGTGTACTATAGGAAATCTATCCTCCTTGAATGTGAAATATAGATATTTCTAATTATCACTTTCGTATTGGGTGCATGAATATTTTTCCTACCTTACCATTTTTTCCTCCAAATATTTATAAAGATAAATCAGCAAATAATAAACCAAGCCAAATATAAAGACTTTCTGTTTGTTCAGCCATGCACAATATATTATTCTACTACAGTACTTAGTTTTTGTTTTATTAGATTCAGCCCATAAATGGCCGAGCCTTAGGGATTTGAGGGTAAGAAAAACTTGTTTCTGAGATACGGGCCAATAAAGGTGGCGTGAGAGCAACTCACGATTGTTCCTCACTCTCGCATGTTTGATGGGTAACTGACTCTCGTCTTGTTGTTAGCTAGCTGAGAAAAGTGCCAGATTATGATTTTTACCAAGTGATTGGTATTACTTTACACCAAAATAGTACAGTAGTACCCCGCTTAACGCGGTCAATAAAACCCACAGGGTACCGTGTTAAGTGAAAACCGCGCTAAGTGAACAACAGAACCTGTGGGATTAATTCCAATAGAAACTGGCCCGACCCCCAAACTCCACTTTTTGACGACACACAACTATGTTGTAGTAAAAATTTTATCTTAACTTTATGATGGTATGAAAAAACAAGTAATATAGAAGAGGTTAGGTTAGGAAAAATAAAGGTTAAGTTAGGAAAAATAAAGGTTAGGTTAGGAAAAATAAAAGTTATGTTGAACACTTACGTTAGTAGAAGAGATGGGTCGGCGTACGGGGATGGAGGCTGGTTCCGAGGCAGAGGGCAGGCTACTGGCCCTCAGGTGAGTCACCATCACTGTCACCCACACTTGTTATGGCCTCCCTGACAAATCCCTCAAAGTAATCTTCACTGTCTCTACCTCTGTCACTATCACTGGCTTGGGCTGGCTGTGGTGGGTTGCGGGCGAAGAACTCGGTTATGCTTTTTTGACGGCTGGTGTTTATGTTGTCTTGATGCACCCTGATGTACGGCTCCATAGCCTGCACCAGCCGGGTATGGAAGACTTCATAGCGGTCATCGTTATTGTCGCTGGAAAGGAAGGACTTCATTTTCTCTGCACACTCCATGGCACCCTTAATATCACTATGGCTTAAACTGTGTTCTTCGGAGAATGACGCACCTTCTTCTTCCTCTTCACTGACGTGATCTTCTTCCAACATCTTGTCGGCAGTCACTTCAGGATCTCTGATCACCTCCAGGATGTCTTCGTTGGTGGTCTCGGAGAAGCCTTCAGCTGTAATATTGTGCGCAGCGTCTCTGGCAAGGTCCACTGCTACTGCAACAGTCTGAACCTCATCAGTCACAGGTTCACTCCTCCTCTCACCTGGGATACCATGCAACACATGTCTCCAGGCGTGACGAATCGTAGCAATAGACAGCTGATCCCATGCCTCCACCAAGAAGTCTACAGCTTGTTTGACGTTAAACTTCTTCCAAAATTGTTTGACGAGAACTTCTTGAGTCGCCACCTCTTGTTCCTTGTCCTCGTCGCTTTTACTCTCGCTGTCGGTGTCACCCAGCTTACGCAACTCATCCTTGGTGTTGGTAGAGTCGTTCAGGAGCTTGAACTTCTTTGCAGAGTACGCAGCTTTCACATTGCAGATCAACTCCTGGTCCATGGGCTGGATTAATGACATAGTGTTGGGAGGAAGGAAGACCACTTTTACGTTGGGGTGACGATCCATAAGTAGGGGCGAGTGTCCAGGTGCGTTGTCAAGGAGCAACAAAATGTTGAATGGAACATTCTGTTGCTCACAGAATTTCTTCACGTCGGGAACAAAACAGCTGTCAAACCAGAAGAGGGACAGAGAAGAGGACATCCACGCCTTACGTGCGGTTAGCCAGTGGACATTAAGCTTGTTCATGTCCATATTCTTGTAGGCGTGCGGCTTGTGGGCTGTGTGAATCACCGATAACTTTGGCTTACAGGTACCGGAGGCATTGGTGGTAAACAGGACGGTGATGCGTTCCTTCTGCATCTTCCGGCCCCGAATCTTGCTGGCATTCTTTACAACGAAGGTCTTGGAAGGTAGCTTTTTCCAGAAAAGACCAGATTCGTCCATGTTAAACACCTGGTCGTCGGTGTACTGTCCTTCCTCCATAATCTCACGTAAGAACGGAGGAAAATCTCTAGCCGCCACACGGTCAGCACTCGCTTCCTCACCACCAATGTTGATGTTGGTGATCTTGTTCCTCTTCTTAAACCTATGCAGCCAACCAGAGGAAGCATTGAAGGGTTTGGGCTCTGCAATACCCAGCCTACGTGACACTGCTGTGTATAGTTCACGTGCGTACTCCTGCACTGAGCGCGTGTCCACCGCCATGTTGCGTCGCGCCTGACGAATCGAATAACTCGCCAGCAAATTTTCCACTTTTGCCAGCACCCTGTTCTGGCAATACTTGATCGTTGAAGCACCTGCAGACTTTGTGATTTTCATGTGCTCTTTGATCTTGGCTGCATCCTTCTTGATAGTGCGAATCGTAGATTCGTTGACGCCATGCTGGCGTGCGAGATCAACTTGCTGTGTTCCTTTCTCCAAATCTTGAATGATCTGGTATTTCACTTCGTAGCTTAGACCACGGCGTGTCTTCTTGGGCTTAGGGCGGCTGGGTCCAGGTAAGGAAAGGTCTCTCTCTGGTGGCGGTGATGGTCCGGCGGAAGCCATTTCACAGAACAATGGATTCACGTATACACGGAGTGGCCTGGAGGGATGAAACTGCCGTGGCTAGGTGAAGCGTCGTCTTTCCTCCCTCCCTCCCTCCCCCGGGTGGACACGTCATAATACTTTAGGCCATTTACAGCTTGCAGCAGAGGGGGGTAGGGATGTATGGCCAATCACAGTCCGATACGTCATATGACGTCAGTGATAATGCAACAGAGACATGCACTGCACAACCTAACCGCGCGCGGCTTGCCCAGGCGGAGGGAGGCGGGAGCAGGCGGGTGGGGCGATTCTAAAAATAGCGTCTCGAGCCGGACACTCACCGCGTATACGTGGAAAAAACCCGCTTTAAGTGAAAGTTCGGCTCTGGCGAGGCACCGCGTATACGGTAAAGCGCGCTAAGCGAAACCGCGTTAAGCGGGGTATTACTGTGTGTGTGTGTGTATATATATATATATATATATATATATATATATATATATATATATATATATATATATATATATATATATATATATATATATATATATATATATACACATATATACAGTGACCCCTCGGTTAACGAACTCAATCTGTTCCAGAAGGTCGTTCGTTAACCGAAACCATTGTTTCAATGGGTTTCGGGTAATTGGTTCCAGCTCACCGAAAATTTCCTAAATTCAACAAATATGGTAGAAAAGTTCACTTACTTTGAGGTGTGTATGTAGAAGGCTCCTGGATGATGATGATGATGATGGGAATTAGAATGGGGGTGGAGGAGAAGGAAGAAGAAAAGGCATTGGGGTGGAAGAGAAGTCACCCCATGGCACCATTTCATCCATAAAATTTTAGTTCTCTTGGTGTATCTCAAGATTATTTTCTTTAAATCAACACTGCACTGCATTATATATTGTCAATATGTAAAATATATTTCAAAATGACCATTAATTTGCTTGGAAACACAGAAAAAATGCGTTTAGTTGAAGAGAGTCTCAAGCAAGATGTTACCTACACTGAAAACAGAGAGAGACTAACGCCTGTCTGGTGTGTTAACAGGCTGGATGGCACACCAGAAACTAGTTTCTTTACCTTCAGTTATGTTCAATAGTTGTTAAAATGACTAAAAAAGTTAATATTAAACTTTTAAAATTATTGAATAGTATAAACTTCTTGATATTTACTAAAATAGTAAGGAATTTAAGCCCTAGAACCGATTAATGTATT